CGTTAGGTCGTCGATCTGTCATACTCTATAAACAAGAATGTATGAATATATATAGTATCAATTGTACTTATAATTTGTCACACTTTTGTTTATGATGTTTTTTTAATTTTTTTGTAATATGAATTTTGTAATGAAAATACACATACTTACTAATGATTGTGTCAGCTTAACACAAGGCCACATGAGATAAAAACAGTAGTGAAGTCACTATTTTGGATAAGAGAGCATTAAACTTATATATAAATGGAAACTACACGGTGTAGATAATGCTATACCTAATTATTATGAATCAAAAACCAAACATCCCACTTGCCCTAATCCAACTAAATAGTCCCTATAAAGATCCATTTCACACATTTGGTGGGTTTTGAAGTGTGAAAATTGTATGTCCACCCCACCACTTTGTTTTTCTTTTTTCTCCGGTTCGTTTGGATTCGGTTCGATTTGTTTAACAAATTCAAAATCATAAAACAATTTGTGTTGTTGAACGAAACGAATTGCTCGTAAGCTCAGCTCGATCGACTGTGACCGGTTAAGGTTCAAATTCAACTCGGCTCGTTTGATAAATGAGCTAAGCTCGAGCTCTCTCAAAACTCGTTTGGTTACCGAGTCAGACACGACTCGACTCGATTCGATAAAGCCCGTTAAGATTCAAAAATATAATTTTATGTATAATTATCTTTATCTATAGTTTCACTTGTCAACTAGGTTTGAACTCGACTTGTTAATAATGGTAAACGAGTCGAGCTCGAGCTTTCATTTATTTACTTGTTTTGAAATGACTTAGCTTGTCTGAGCTCCAGTTTTTACGTGAATGACGTCATCTATTAATATTATGTACATAATTTATTTTTTTTACTTTGGTTGTAACTTTATAAGTCACCAGCTCTTATTCAATATCTACTCCCTTTGTGATGTAATAATTCCATTAAAGGAGAAACGCGTAAATAAAAAAAATTGCAATGTATTTATTTTTATTGTTTTTATTTAATTTATTTTATTTTTTGACGCATTAAATAAAGTGAATTTATGTTTCAGCACCGCCACAAAACCCCAATTGGACACGAACTGGAATTTACCGTAATACCATGTCGAGACCACTGTGGAAGGGGGTATGTTGGTCATTTCAGACGCGCTTCATAAACACGTAACAAGAAATTTTGTTTGATAACTGTTGGTGGGGACCACACAACTTTTGACTTTCTTTGCATGATAAATGACCACCGTTGATTTACAGCGGACTCGTTTTTTTACCTTTTTTATTTTTACCTTTTTTTTAACGTTTTAATATAATATTCATTTTAGTTGATTATATGTGGATACATAAACATGACGTCACATCTTACCACATAAGTTGATTATCCACGACGATTACATGATGATCTAACGATTACAAATCCCGACTTTATGGTTCCATAATAGGATTATAGCATTTCTCAATATTTTTGCCTCTCGTAAAAAAATTTCTTGGTCTGTTACTCACTGAAATTAGAAAAAAAATGGCAGATGATTTAGTTATGTACATATATTTGATCAATTTTTAGAGAAATGCTACAGTCTTGTTACGGAATTATTCGGTCAGAATTTGTGTACCGATAAATCATCATGTAATCGTCATGAATTATTGATATAACGGTTACAAAGCCGACAGAATAGTTCCGTAATGAAAACCTAGAATCTCCCCAATTTTTATATTTGTCAAAAGTTGTGAGTTAGTTTATTTTAAAAAATAAAAATAAAAATAAAAGTGGATTTACCGTGTGAGCCGGGCCGTTAGCTGTGGACCAATGGGAAGTGAAGACTTTGGTCATCTCTTGTAGTCCATCTTGTTTGCAAATCCAAATGATCAGTTATAATTTTCATTCACTTTTTTTATCTGTATATGTTATTTTCAAAAAGTAATATATGAAGTGTGCCAATTTTAAGAAATTTTCGTCTCCAATTTCAAAAAGTAATATAAGAAGTGTGATAATTTTATTTAAAAAATAAAAATAAAAATAAAAAAATCGAGGTAAGTTCTTATACGTGTTCACGTAAATTTTCAAATATAATTAGTTGAGATTTTTTTCTTTTTTTTTTTCTTAAAAAAAAAACTTTTTATACTTGTAATTTTTCAGTCATTAGCCATATTTTTTTGATGAAAAAATTAAATTATATATCAATATTAATCAAAAGTAAGTAACTGAATTATCAAGTGACGAGTGTCGTTTTAAATATTAATCACGACGTAATTTTTCAATAATTATTTAGAAGGCAAAACATTTTTTTTTTATTTATGTATATTTTTTAAAATTTTAGTTATTATTATTATTATTTTACCAGGACCTATATATGTATATGTTGGGACACCATATGGGAATATAAGATTATGATAACACTCTTTCAACCCAAAATCAGTCATATGTGAGTACTTATAGCATCTCCAAGAGACTTCGTATTTTTGACTTCCTATTTGGAAAAATAAGGAGTCATTCTATATCCATTTGCTTCCTATTT